TCAACCTGTCGTGACGAAGAAAGAAGATGTTTCGAAGAGGGAAGAGGTTCCAAGGAGAGAAGAGGACCCGAGAAAAGTAGAGATTCCGAAAAAGGCTGAGATTCCAAACAATCCTCACCTTCTCGCGCCTACCGCACACATCACCAATCCATGTGAGAGGAAGGAAGAATATAATAGAAGTAAAACAACGTATCCGATCCGTTCAGGCGCATCGTCGAGGAAATCTTCGAGGAGTCACTCATATGCTAGCATAAAGTACAAAGAGCGACCTATGATAAATCGTGACGACATGAACTCGACGTTGTCAGCCGCTAGCGTGGACTCGCAGGACGTGCGAACGTCGGTGTGGTTTAATCCGGCGCTTTACAAAAAGCCGCACGCATTCACGAGATCGGCGAGCGAGCGAAGGACCAGGCACAAGGATACCGCGGGGAAGCTGCAGCAAGTAGTCGAGATGCCTGAGCACCTGATCGAAGAGGACAAAATCTTCCGTAAAGTCAGCGATAATATATGCGCCTTGCAGAAGAAGGAGACGAGATTCCAGAATTACGGGCTCGTGGATTGCGTTCCGGCCGGAAGTTCGACAGAATGTAACTCTCAAGAGAAGCTGTCCTCGTATCTCGACATAGAAATTGGCGAGAAAAGTAGCCATCGTCAAAGTTTGGCCAGCGTTTACAAGGAGAGGCCGGTGTCCTGGGCCAGCGAGATGAACGAATTGCAGCAAAACAAACGTCTGGTGTACGATATAGCGACCAAGCAGTTTACTGAGAACAAGGAGAACGCCGTGTGCAATACGCACTCCACCGTGGAGACTTTGGCGAAGCCTAAAAAGTCGAAAAAATTCTTCCTATTTCGTTAGAGCATTTATGATACTATTGATAAATACGGTAGCGTCTAGAACAGACATGGCCGATCTACGATCCGCGACAGTCTTAAAAATAAAAAATTAAGGATGGAAAAGACCCTAAAGCTAGCTTTAATTTAACATTAAAACCAGTTTTAGTATTTCTTCTTAGAATAAGGAACAAATTTTAATATTTTTAAGACTGTTTCGGGCCCGCGAAGAGCTTGAAAATTTAGAATGCGACTCGAAAGAGGTTGGCCATGCCTGGTCTAGAGCGAGTCTGTTGGGTGATAACACGAGGACTGGTTCTACGCTTATCGTTTCCGAGTTTGACAAGAATCTTCGGACGATGCGACGATCTCAATTTAGTATAATGTAAATTTAATGTGAGTTGTAAGTTTGTATATACATTGATTTCATTATGTTAACAGGGTAATTCTGTATGTACTGCCTAATCATTGTGAAGTCCTCGCAGTGATCATGAAGCTACAGATACATGTCGCAATTATATTTATGTATTAATTATATAATTATATATATAAAGAGATTAAATATATAATTATATATATATGTATCAAATTATATTGCATTGTTACCAATAAAAAGACAGAGTATACGATCCTGAACATATATTCTTGAGCAGATTGCGACGTTTACAGTTGAAGCTACACTGTGCATGTTACCGAGATATCTTTGCGACCCCTGCGGTCCTCATTCAGACGTATTTATTCGTCAGCTTAAACCAGGACTAATTGATTCTACGATTACTTAAGACGTAACGACGTGTAACGATTAAAATAGAGCTAGAGCCAGCCGTACGGCCAGGAAGGTGGTTCCCCGGGCTTGAGCTCTCTACCGTACAACGCCGACTTGTCCCTGAACATCGTCATCCTCTCCGTTTCCATCTTGTCTATCTTGTGGCCGATCATGAAGCCGGTGAAGGGCAAGAGGAGCGTCCAGTACACCTTCCAGATGTGCCTGTGCGACAGGCCCGCCATGCTGTCTCACTTGTCCTGCTGCTCGGCGAGCTGTTGGCGCTTCCAGCGAGCCGTGTGCCTCAGGTCCGCGTAGATCGCGAGCACCGCGAACGTGGGGAACAACACGCTGACGAGGTTTCGCTTGATCGGGATCCAGATGCTCTTGACACCGGAAGCCTCCATCAAACTGGAAAATTGACACAACAATTCTCGTATCGGACGGGAAGTGAAAGATGGTCCCCGCGGTCAGAAGCCTCCAAGAGGATCGGGAAATGACCGAGGCAGATCGCGCTTTCCTAAACACCGTTTGAACGAAATAACGATCAACGTGAGCGGAAGTGGCGTGACGAAACGCGGCGGACAGGTCGAAATCAACGAGACCCGCTTACGGTTGACGCGCGCAGGTTCGCGGCGAAATTGTCCTTCGATCGGGGACAGGGTTCAAAATGAAAAAAGAGGAAGCTTACGGTCTGCAAACCGCATCGGTCGGCCGACCTCGCGGAGGTTAGGTCACCTCGCTCGTTACGTAACGCACGTCAGGCGAGTCGAGAGTATCGAGAGAGAACTCGTCGCTGCTTCTGTCATCCCTCGCGGGAGCGCCAGTTCGAATCCCCGTAAAATCCCGAGTGAACAGAACCGACCGTGGCGGAGACTGGAATCGCGGGAACGTCCCGATATCGAGTCGCGAAGGAGGGCAAGAAGAGTAGAAAAGGCACGCCACGCGTTTACCTTCGCGCGGCCCGAGGATCGGCTTTCGGTCGCCCCGGTGAGAGGTTAGGAGTACGCAGCCAGCAGTTGCGAGTGGTGGGAGAGCAAGTTAGAGAGGAGGAGAGAAGAGATAGACAAGTTCAGAGGCTTCAGTTGTTCGGTCGGAGGGCAGTGGGGGGTCGCGGCTGCGGATAATCAGGCGCCGAGGAGAAGGAATAACCTCGAAGGTGAGGTAGAGTCCGCGATTGTCGAGCGACGTCGGGACGTAACCTGATGCGATCGTGATTTCAGGACGCGGACGGCGATCGATCCCTGCGACGCGACGACGTCCTCGATGGGGCAGACGCGCGCGAGATAATTCTCCGAACGCTTATCTGCTCGCCGACGTCAGACGCGACCTTGCACCCGGAGCGGAGAGCGAGAGAGCGAGAAAGAAAGAGAGCACCGCAGGTAGACGGGCACCGTGATGCCGGCGCGAAGGACACTCGGCGCTCTGTGATCGGAAGCAAATGGAAGTGTCGCGGCGACGCTGATCCCGATTGCCAAGGAAGTCAGACGGCTCTGTCTGTCACCGGCTCAGGAGGGGAGCTTCGCGAGAGACCAGGTGGCCCGAAAGACGAGGAGTCTGCCCTGTGATAACAACTTGTGACCTTAAACAATGAGAACCGGTGCGTCTCCACGAGACGCGAGTACTTGCGAATGAGCTCCCGATTGACTTTACGTAATCCATATGCGTCTTCTCCGCAGATAAGAGAAAGTCGAGGCACTCGCCACCGAGGGTGAGGGAGACGGAGATCCTGTGGTCGGACATAGCCGGTCGCATTCTGATAAACGCGATCTCGTATCCCATCGAGTACGCCAAGGTTCTGATTCAGGTAAGAGACCGGTGCTTGACGCTAATGGAATTGTCGCGAAATGACAATCATGGAAACATATTTGTCTTGTTACGTAGATCGGATATGAGCCTATTCCGCCGAAACCAACTGTAACGTTGTTCGGAAAGCCAGCGCTAAAGTTACCCAATGCCTTCACGTACAGTAAGTCTCGCCTCGTCTGTTGAATGTCTGTAATAAGTATTCAATTCTGAATGGGAAAAGGAGATTCACTTAATAATTGTTTGTAATTATCAGGGTGTCCAGTGGTCCAGGGAAATCTGAAAATGTCGGGGAAAAGTCAGGAAATGTTACAATTTATCTGGATTTTTTACATCGTTTCACATTTTCTGTGAATAATTTAGTTTTTAGAAAGTAAACTTTACATTGGCTCTCGGTACACTAATTTTGCTAAACATCAATTTATTTATTAGCGTGGTCGGTAATTTATATTTTCGTCGTTGTGTTATTTTATTTCAATGCGTTCAACTGAGACAAAACTAGAAAAAAAGATGAATTTCTAAACAGTACTGTCTAAGTAAGTTGAAAACAAAATGCAGTTAAGCAAAACGAAAACATCATATATGATTACGTACGGTATCACAAATGGTTTGAATGGTTTGTAACGTTCGTTCCTGTTACACAATTATACATAGATGGTATAGTTGCTTTAATTTAAATTTTTACCATTTGAAATTCCGGACTTTTGTTTCCCGAGAAAAATATTTCGAGGACTTCGTCATTTACTTGATTTACCATACAGATTGTACGCAAATTATGCGTCTCGAAAAAAGGTTACACTAAACGGTCGGGGAGAAATTAATTCCGGCTTCTGGAAAACCCGAAGAAATTTGGGAATATTGTTCATTGAGTTTGCTGGACGCCCTGATTATGTTACGTCGATTCGAAACCTGCGGACGATTGTTCTGACTTTTGTTCTAACGCTACATTATGCTTTGCAGTCAAGCACATAAAGAACGTGGACGGCCTTACGGGCTGCTACAGGGGCTTGATACCCAAGGTGTGTTCCTACACTGTTAGCACGATAGCGTGTGACAAAACTTTGGAGTATCTCCAGCCCAATTCGGTGGAGCGGAACGAAAATGAAGAGGACGAGGACGAGAGTGTGAGGTGCGTATTGCAGGGAAGAAGGAAGAAATGCGAATGTATAACTTCTCACGTTTGCAGACGTAAACGGTGCATGAATGAGATTATCAAGGATGTAATCAGTAGAACAGTCGCGATCATAGTTAGCCATCCTCTGGAAGTCATTTCGTTGAGGATGATGGCGCAATTTGTGGGCGGAGAAACAAGATATAGGTATCGCAAGTGTACAACATAAATATCCTAGCCGCCCGGAGGAGAAGGGACGAATCTGTTTCAATTAAAATGTGATCTAGGAAGACAGGAAAATAATACTGAGGAAAGTTTAAAGAAATTTTGAGAACTTTGCGTTTGTAACTTATAAAAATTAAGAAAGAGGCTTGTACACTGCGTTCATCTTTGTCATCTTTTAAAGAGACAATTTTGAATGTAGTTTTCAAGATCTAATTCTAAATTTGCGTTCTCCTCTGGGCTGATCGTCGCCGCAACGAAACTTTACTTATTATTACATTTTCATAATTAGTAGTCTATTCGGCTCGTTCCTGGAGATCTACAGGGAGAATGGGATCCTGGGATATTACGCAGGATTGATCCCACGTGTTATAGGAAGTGCTGCGGTTATAGTTCTAACCGGTATCTCCACATATGCCATAAATAATTATGTCATACAGGAGCCGGCGATGAAACCATACACTTCCTCGACCATGAAAGTAAGCACGACTCCATTGTGTTCTAAAGAAAATGTTATCCGATACGCAATGGTATTTGCACCATGTGTCTCGGAACAAATGCATTAAATATTTTGTGCGCAATGTATACTTTTTCAAACGAAACATTTATACAGTTTGTAGCTACGACTGTCATGTACCCGTTCCTAGTGGTGTCGCACTGCATGGCAGTAAATGATTGTGGGTAAGTGGAATCTTGTACATCGAGGAGCGATGTAATTTTTACTTTCCGTATCTCATCCTAAAATCTGTTTCCATCGCGTACGTAAAAATAATAGACGTAATTATGTTTGACGTTAAAAACGACGTGCGCACAAGATTGAGCGTCGAATTACGAATCGCGGAAAGATTAATTCGTTCATGAATTCTGTTAAAGGTTGGTAGCTGGTCTTCCACCGCACATGCCGATCTACGACAACTGGCTGCGTTGCTGGTCCCATCTGTCAGCTCACAACCAGCTGAAGAGAGGCAGCAGCCTGCTGTGGCGTTACTACACCGGGCCGCAAATGCTGCTGAACGGCAAGCTGATACCGATTATGGGCGATAATTTTTATCAGCCCAGCTCTTAATGGACATCCCAAGTAAGCCAGACAAGTCTGTTGTAAGCCAAATAAGTTTGTTATAAACCAAATGAGTGTCGACCGACAGTCATGCCCATTTGACGTTTTATTTATACAGTGTACACATGTAGCTATATACAAAGGAAAAGGAAAAAGAAAGTTTGGCTGCAACGAATTTCTCTAGAATCAAGCAAGAGTTCCGCGCATTAAACATTTCTTAGAAGATCGAGCTGTTATATTAAAAATAACGAAAACGGAAGACATACCAATTCAGAAATCCATCGAGATGGTTCGGTTAATTGTAATAAAACGCAGTTACAATTAATTGCAATTAAATGCGATATTTCCCAACGAGGAACTCGACAATCATTGGATAAATCATTCCTCGATGTTCGAGATTGATAGGCGTCATTTATTAGTCATCTCGTGATGAATTCAATACACTTGTTTGAGAAGGTACGACATATCATCTCGATCGATCCTGCACCTTCAGATCAGGTATGCAAAAGTGCTTGTAAATAAAGATAAACAAATTGGAACAGAACACCAGTTGCGCAATAAAAGAAGTGATGCTGGAAGAAGCGAGATGTATATTTGCTATGTTGACAATTAGACTTTATTGTTTCGACAATTAATCGACTTAGTGCAGCCCCCCCCTCCCCCCTCGTCGGTAATTGGTAAGATTTCGATGAGTATTGCATTCGTCGGATTATAAACATCATCCTATATATAATATGTATACGCTATCCTATAAGGAGAAAAATAACGCGCGAGAGCCTAAGCTACATCTCCCGCCATTAACACGTATAAAAAAAATATCCACTCGCGCTAATGGTCTCGATAGTGTTTGTACACACTTGTTCTTCCTCAGGCATTACGTACGGACTATATTGCGCCTGTACAAAAGTAGCCAGTCGAATGTGAATAATGAACAGAGAATATATACAGCGCGTCTCGCAACGTCGCGATCGTGCCGCGTCGCCTCTCGACGACGGGAGACCGTACGAAATTTAGTGAAATTGTCCCAGCTGACGCCGAAAATTACGCGAATTTTTTACACAGCCGTGAAATGCAATTGAAATTAGCTTTCCCCGTTACATTTTCACCGAGAACAATTCGGAGCAATTTGCTAAAGGAAAAGTTCTGTTGAGAGGCGGAGAATAGCTTCTGGACATGCTGTATTTATAATCGTAATTCATTTACGCGCTTAAATTTCTAATTAAATCTATTGAAGCCGGGGACGCTCGAAATTACTCCTAAACTCGAGTAAAGTTCGCATTCGTGATCTAATAATAAAGTAATTGCGTTCTCGCTCTCACGATCGGATAAATGCAGTGACGGCTGATCGTCGTTTCCACGGACAATCGCCTCTTAAGAACTAAATTATGCTTGGATAACGCGAAACAAAAATCGTTGCACATGACAGGGACCACCGCGTGTCTCGTCGATAGAGTATTTTTCGTACTGTGTAACACCAGTTATCAAATTTATCTATACAATTCTACCGGATAAGATGTAGGTAATTAATGAGAAACGCGCGTTGTTCGAGATTTGTAACTACGCGCTAAGCATTATCAGCATTGTCGGCCACAATCACCGGTCGATCAGTGTATAACAATTCCCGTGCGCCTTTGTAAAGTCTCTTACTTAATACGTCTCCCTCTTTAGTGACTCGGTTGGCTATGTCGAGTTTGATTTTCTCAAGCAAGTTACGTGAACGCGTTGCAACACCGATCAGCGCTATATCTATTCTGTTTAACAATTCTCTCGCTAGTTCTTTATTAACAACATTGTGTCATAGCAAGGTATTCCATCGTTATACTTTACACCGTCAACGAAAGCTAGTCTCTACGAGACGATCCAACTTGAGAAGCACAATAAGCGGAATCTGTATCTGAATTAATTTGCGTAGCAATGTTTCGCTGTCGCGCAATCGAGAGAAATCATTTTCTCGCCGAACTAATCGGAAATGTAAGGCCATCGTTGTTACAACTGTTCCGAATCGCGTCAGAAATAATCGGAGAGGAACTTATGATAGATCATTTTAATTCTATCAACCTGTTGTTGCGTAACACGATAAAGATCCGGACGATCAACATTTAATATTTATTTAACCAACATCGCTTCTCTTACGCTATCATTATTAGGTATAACAATCGATTGTTTGCCGAGTCCGAGTTACGCATGGGGAACAACTTTCTCTTTTAGGCTCTCTATCCGCGAGGCTATGTACATCGAGGAATACGGCGCGCGTTTTCGGGAATGTTCGGCGAAGTCGAAAGCAAAGGGTGCGCACATCCAAAACGCGATGCTTCGCAAACAAATAATACAAATACTTTCGGTGCAGCACAAACTGTTCAGTATTCACATTCTACGACGAAGAGCTCGAACTCGACTACATCCGAGGAGTTTCATTCGTCTTGTGACATAAAGTCTTCTTCCTTCCTTTCATTTCGTTCTTTAAATATATATTATGCGTATGTACAAAAGTATCTTTCTTACAACATACGAATTGCGAGAAAAGAAACTATGAGAAGATGCGAGAAAGAGAGAGAAAACAAACAACTTAAAACTTAAAGAGACAATACCAAGGCAGTATAATACTTAATAGTATGAGTAGTTTTTCCTCTCGAGGACCAGGCAGATACAATTGGCTCGTGAGCGCATAAATAAGCGGTACATCGTACACCATCGGGAAGTGCGTTAATAAATTCGTTTACCAGCTTACGGCTGCCCGGCAGATAAATAGTCATCGGCAAGTTTATACTCTATTAAATTTAAAGAACAAAACGAAATCACGGCGTAATCCTGACCAGAAGTTTTAGTAGCGAAACGCATCACATCCAGAGACAAATCTATTTTCTTATTATAGCTACGTTACAAAATTCGGTTATATTAGAGCTTAACGAGATTTATATTATCGATTATATATGTATATCTAACGGAACTCAATTCTTTACAGTAGTTATGTAAAAAAATGAATTTGCCTCTAGGTACATCTTTGCCTTATTATTATATACAGCGGGATTTTCTACCCTTAATTCTTAATAACGATTCAATATACTGTGTAGCAGAGTTCTTTTTTCCTCGTAGGAACCAAAACGAAATAACTGTAAATAAGACTGCGTGATAAATACAAGAGAGAACCACGGACATAATAGGAAGAAACGAAGTATCGTCTATCTCTTCCTATAAAAACATTACGCCAACGAACTGTGGACAGTACGATATAACAAAAAGTATATGAACGCTCCGCTTGTCTTCGTGCCAATTCGACAAGATCGGGCAAGCTGTGCATCTTCGATCATAGATGATAATATTGATCTCAAGTTTATTTATCAAAATATCCTTTCATTTCAAGATGTGAGAATTCTCAATGTCATTTATCGCTTTTGTCTCGCTTTGTCATTAAGAATAACTGCAACAGGGAGCCTTAAAATTGTGATACTGTACGAAGACATAAAGATTATACTTCCTGTTCTGTCGCACTCTCATTATTCGTCGGCATCAGCTCAAGGATGCGTTGCCCCGTTTATTCCTACTGTGTCTATGGAAAAATACTATATAAAACGTGCAACGCATTCATGAAACGTAAATTAGGCCAAAGTGCAGCGACAATATTTCGTTCATTTCAATCTTCGTAAATTGAAGCATTACAAGTCCCGCTTAACATTTTTTTTTTTTTATTGAAACATTTATACCTCCAATTTCTTTGAACCTTCGTAAGTTGTGGAATGTAATTGTCGATCTTTTCTTATAGGTGCTCTCTAAAATCGAGAGACAATTGAATCTTACAACTTTACAACAGTTTTAAATCGAAATGCAATTTATAAGAATTAACGAATATCAAAGATTATATCGTAGTTGATAAGTGTTTAAGATTACGTTCTAGAGACGGGGTACATCGCGTTAATTTTTCTCTCATTTCTAAATTCTTAATTCATCAATTGACGCTTTCTATAAAGAGATCTCTTGAGATTTAAACAATAGCTGTCGTATTTGTCGTGCCTTCTGTTGCATACGCGCAAGATGTTGCAGGATATACAGGGTATACCAGAAGTCGCGCATTTTTTTCTTGAGAATATCTCAAGACTCGTGCGGATGTTTTGTCTCTAATAACAAATCTTTGACATATACACTCGACAGAAACTTGAACTAGCTATTTTGCTTTCCAAGAGGGGCAACAGAAAATATGTTGAATGTACCGCCAAGAATTAAAGTGTACTAATTGCATTCGGCGGTTCTAATATCCAATAACCGATCAACCACTTAAAAGAAAAACAAAAGAGGTCTTTTGAGCGGATGCCTTTAACGTCATGGTATTGCCATTCTCTTGGCCAGGAACGCGCGACTTCCAGGACGCCAAAACTACCGTACGTACGTCGGCCATTTACGACTTCACGCTCGCGTGTAGCTCGACCGGTTCACTTCAAATCCAGCTCGACCTCCGGGCTCTCCAGCGTGAACGGCTTGAGGTTTTCGACAATGGGCGTCTGATCCGGGTCGACGCGAATGCGGATCTTGTTGGTATCCAGGGAGCGGGGCAGTGTGCGCGGCAGGTCGTCCTTGTAGGAGGCCACCGCCGACGACGTGTACGTGGGCGACGTGTACGGCACGTAGATTCGCACCACATCCGGGCTGGGCTGGTGCGGTGTAGCCCGCGGCGTCGGTAGGCCGCCGCTGCCCGAGCTCGCGTTCGAGATATTGCTCTGGGTGTCCAGGCTGTTGTCTAGGGCCTGGGAACGTGTCGCCGAGCTGAACACCGACAAATCAGCTGTGGACGTCACCGACGTCTCGGCTAACGACCGACGAGAGCCGTTGGGGGACGCGCCCTCGTCGATGCTCGGATCGAAGGAGAATTTGCTGCCTGCGAACACAGTCTTCGTTAGAGATTGAAATTGTGACGGAAATTCACAAACGGACCAATTCGCATTATGTAAATTTATATATTAATCGTGAGATGGCAAGAGCTTTATTTGCCAATTAGGCAATAATGCGAACGAATGTCAACTTGTTAAATGATTTAGTCTTTCCGGCGAGGCAGCGTTATTGAATATGATGCAAAGCACTGACGAAAGATAAAAAGTACTGAGGATCGCATTAAGGATGCTTCACAGTAACTCAATGACTGCAAGCAAAGTCTTTTATTTGTTCATATTATAATGTACGCCAGGAAAACTTGATATAAAATGAACAATGAGATCGAACAGGACGAATAATATTAATCGTGTTAGAAGTGGTCCTAATGGTGCGGGATCTTTTGCTTCGCATACATGGATAGAGTGTGTTGTGTTAAATCATATAAGACTTGGCTTTTTGTTAATTTCGACACGTTTATTAAGCATAAACATATACGAAAAGATGAAAAGAATAATCATAAAGAGATTTATCAACAAATTTATCTTCTGAGTGTAGCGCATCCCTGAAAAAAATGCATCTGTGCGGGGGAAACATAATATTTTTTTAATTAATATATATTAAGATCTTTCCTTCCAACTACTTGTCACTGATCTACCAGAAGCGACGGCGCAGATTAACCGCCTATAATACTTAAATATATTATAGAAAAATATCCTATATTAATACCCTTCCTATACAGAATTATATACTGTCGTATATAAATCATTTTGTACGATTACGTGCTATTCTTACAAAACATATTTGTCACGCTTTAATATCGTGGCGAAGGCTTCCTTCTGGAAAGAAAAAGCTCTCTACAAACTACATTCGACGTCTTGCAAGATCGTATTGAGCAAAATTTGTTTTTCGCGCCGCGATTTATCAGTCGCGACGAAGCACCACGTTCCGCTCACAGTCTAGTGTTGTAGATAACCGTTATCCGCACGTTTGAATCGCCGTCGTCCTCGTCGTCGGACTCGCTGCCGCGCTCGAGGCGCGAGGTACTGTCCGTGCTATTACCGTGTAACGTGTCGCGGCTATCTCTAAACTCACCGCCAAGGCCACTGGTCGGCTCGACGGGGGTCGTACTCTCCCTGCCGTCGTCAATCAGCGCCATGTCCCTGCGCTGCGCCACGGACTCTCGCATTACATGCTGAGCTTCGCTAAACTCTTCGTTTCGCCTTCCAACCTGAAGAACGTAATGAGAGCATATCATCGCAGCGTAGTAAAATCATCGAAACAATATTCCTTCTGTTACATCACGTGTCAATCTCACGTCGTAAAATCTATCGTAAGAAATAGCCGTATCGTAATGCGATATATTAAAACGTAACGATCAGCGGTATTGTAAAGTCAACACATCCGCATCTCAATGCGATACTTGGCGTTAAATTTTTCCTTAACAAAAATAACGGGACGCGCAGTTATTGATTGGATTAAAATAAAACTCTCCGTTATGAAACGTCCTGCTTTAAAGGAAGTAACACTTAATTTACCAGATAAATAGGGGACGTAATAAATTTTGCTTGTAAATGTCCGCAAAACATACAAGCGCGTGTTAGAATTTCTATTATAATAATAAAAAAATCGTCTGCAACATCTTATACGCGCCCCATTACATCGTTTGCTATCACATCTATTGACAAAAATACATTTCTGACGTCTATCTGCCGCTATAGAGCGAAAATGTGGTGCTCTGGCAATACCTTGCTGGTAAAAGTGGGTTCCTGGAAAGTGCCAAACGGGTAACGGGGCAGTTCGTGCGGCAACGGGGCACCCGGGTAATCTAATTTGGCACGCTTTAACTCTTCCATATTGCGCTCCATCGAATTTATCACGGCGTCGTCGTCGAAGGAAAAATCCTTCTCCAGCTTAATCTGCAGGTAGTTACAGAATTCATCGAGACTCTCCATCGGTAGCAGGTAGCGCTTATGCAACTTCATCACGGTGTACGCCATTGCCGGTAAGATACGGTCGCCGTCCAACAGAAATATGTCCCAAATACGAAGACCGAGACTGACGGGAGTCTACAAAGCGCAGATTAATATCGCCAATATTTAATCATATTCAATAATATTGTACAAGACACATATCTTTACGTGTGGCAAAAGTTCCTTAATGCTTCCTATAAACTGTACTCGACGTGTAAAATTGTCAGCAAGACTATTTGAATATGTAAAATAAGTTCAAGCGCTGCAAAGTTTCACGAGAAATTAAAAGAGAAAAAGAGTGGCAATAGAATGGAGCACGAAGCCTGATCTACAATGTCGATTAGGCTTTAATCTAGAAAGAAGAAAACCTACTCTCTCCTGAAAGACAACGAAGAACCACTTCAACGCATAGAGTATGGAATCGCAGCCGCATTTGTCCATCTTCCGCTTCAGCTTGGGCAAAAATTTGTTCATTATCTTGTCATGGTGCTCTATGAAGCGGTTTAATTTTGGAAATCCATCGACGTAGAAGCCTGTAAAGCGCAACGTACATAGGACTTGAATATACCGATAAATACCAGTACCGTCCAGAGGCTCGTAAATATGATCGACCTTTAACATTTGGAGCCTGCATTGTGCTGTTTTTTTTCCATTCATATGATAAATTTATGCAGTGACACCCACATCAAATAGATTTTTTCTTCAATGACATTTTCTACTCTGTCATATTCAGGAATCTATGGACGATGCAACTTAATTCTTTTAACTTTTGTTTTTTTTAAGAAAACGCAATAAGTCATTAAAAAAATGTATCGCTAAAGAATGATGTTAATATGGAAGAAGTCCAACCGTGCATGCTGTATTTTTGATCGGCAAGCAACACAGAAAGGCCCCAGAAAGCGTCTTCCTCGTTCATGTAAAGCAACAGCAGACCGGCTAGCACAGACATTCCTTGGCAATATCCTACCTCCATGTTGTACATACTGTAGGCGGCCAGTACGTAAAACATGGACTTTTGTTTTATGCTATATCTCTCTCTGAAAAAAAAAAGACCACGGTCACGTTTGTCAAACTTTTCCCTCAGAAGCGAGACGAGAACGTATAGTTTTCGCGCGGTGTCGCACCTATAGTTAATATGATCTCTGTATTGTCTGGCGACGTCGGCGTCGATCTGCCGTATCTCCGTGGACCACTGGCGAGCCAGCTGCAGCATCTCCTCGTACTTGCCCGCCTGCTCCCTCTTCAGGTTCTTTATCCCCAGAAGCAGGGTCCATACTTGACCGCGAAATCTGTCAGGGATCCCTTTGTATATTCTACGGCGCAGCTTCTCCTTGGTCGAGGCACCGTCCCACTGCTTCGTCATCTTCTCCCATTTCTTCAGTCTCTCCATCTCCACGTGCTGCAACTTGACCTCGTACGTATCCGGCTTCTGTGGTAATCTCTTATCGCTGCAACGGGAGACAGAGGCTCGGTTATCTCGGACGATTGAACACGAGATTACAGGTGCGTTCGGGGAATGCACCTTTGGCGCTAAGAACGTCTTCTATCTTTGTTCGATATAGTGAGTGATAAAGATAGACTGGTGCTTTCAGCGCTAATAGCATCTCTCTCCAAACGCAGCCTACATATATACATATATCGTGTACAATAATAAAAATGCACATGCGTACTGTATGAATCCATATCTATCTGTAGCGTGATAAACTTCGTAGGCGGGATCCTCCCAGGGATCAATCTCGGCGCCCTCCCGTCCGCGATCATAGCAACTGAAAATCCTATCGCGCTCTGCGGCAGACCGTTTCAACAATTCTTCCTCATTCATCCCACGTGACGGTGCGCGGCGACTCTTACAAGCATGCCGTCTCGTTAGCGAGCCTCTCTACCAGCGTCCAGCCAGGCAGCTTCATCTGCGAAGGAGAGAAGAGCGTCGTGAGCGGCGCGCGGGCTAATACGACCTGGGGGGGGAGGGGGGAGAGGAACCTCCGCCACCGGTGCCCGGATCGGACCCCGTCAACAACGCGTAGCGACTCCAGGGCGACTTGAATCGGACCTCTATCAGGTCGTCTGCGAAAGAGCCCGCCCGCGGGACGCGAGAGAGCGGGCCCGCGAGTGGCGGCAGGTAGGAATGCGTGCGCGCGGGGGATTACATGTATCTCCTCGGCGTCCCGCGCCGCCCGGAACGTAACAGATTTCGCCGTTGGACCGTCACATCGGCGCGCACGCACGACTGGCGGGCCCGTCGCGGCTAAGCTCGACGCGCGGCCGGTTGGCGCGAAATGGATCTGTCCGCTTCCTCGCTGGCCAGGCGCAGGCGGTGCACGCGACACAACATTTGAACTCCTCGGCCGCTCGCCTGTACTTCTCCTCGACGTAGACACCAGAGCCAGCGGGCGGCCCCCCCTCTCACGAATCTCGCGACTTCGCGAGCCCAGCGCGCCCTCGCGGCGCGGATTGGGCTATGCTAGGTTAGGTCGGCGGTCCGCCAATACCAAAAGGAAACCGCCGCTGAAACGGAAAACGCGGAGAGGCGATAGAGAGAGCAGTAGCCGCGCTTTGAGGCCCGATATTATGCGCGCGCATTAACCGTGTATTTATTTACAGTCAGTTAAGTAAGAGCGTGCACGGCATAAATGACAGTTGGCTTTGAAATATCGTTCTAGCCTTTTGTGAGCCGATAGAGGGAACCTTTGTCGTGGATGCATTTTTTTTAACAGATTAACCTGTGCACGCTCTTACTTAACAGACTGTACTTGTGCAACCACCCGCTTTTGCCGCACGCTTTCGCCGTTGCCCGTTAATCGAGAGATGGGAAACCGGAAGTCGGCCGTTCGGACTCCCGCGCGGTATTCGGCGGCCAGAACATGCGTTCGAAATTAAAAGAGTTCCAAGAAAATCCAAGATAAAGTAACAGAAAGCAAGGATTTAGAAGAACGCCCCATCCAATTTCACGGGTCTTTTTTTCTCAACGACGACACGCATGTCTGACAAATGGATTTTCAACTAAACAGATATCGCTCCAAGGGCAATAAAAATTTATGGGGGAACCGAACGATGCCTATTAATTTTACAGAAATCATGTTAGAAACTTATCTCATAATAGGGGACCCTCTACTAAATGTGAAAAGAAGTCTTTCACGATTTTGTTAATTCTTGTGCTCGAACTCTTCCGATTCTTGAAAAATAGTTACTCTAATGTATAAGGTGATGAGAAGATTTTCGTAAGAAACATAAGTCATCTTTTTAACAAACTGTCTTTATTCATCTTTTTAACAAATATCATTCTTTCGCATGCTCCACGCAATTGCGATCGCTTTGAAAACGCGAACGCGCCTCTCCGCACTCGTTGATTAACACTTGGTGTTATGTGCACAATTGCCCTTTATCAAATGTGTTTTTGTATCTTCTCCTGGTATGAACACCATTATTTTCAAGCGGCTGAAAATTAAGCGAGCTAAAGTCTCAAAGATCTCGAAGAGCAATCTAGGAATCCGGAGGCCGCCGATTCAACCGGCACGCATGAATACGACGTGGTGCATTTTCTTGTTGAAAATTCTCCTCACAAAATCCTCGCTTAGTGGAGACAGCACAATCGTGGTCTTGCAGCAAGTGTACAAAGTTATTTACAAAACTATTTCTTGTGTATGGAGAATTTTAAATCACCCTTATACCGAGAAGAAGTAACAAAACGCTTGGTACGCTCGTCTTTCGAGATTCCCAATTCGAAATCGTTCACAAGTTGTCAGAAAGATACGTTCCGATAGGAGATACACACTCGAGCTGGGACGGCGAAAGCCGATGGCAAGGGTCGCTAGCTTGCGGAGAGCGGGAAAGGAGGCGAAACGACGAGTATCAAAATATAATATCGTTTAATTGCAATTTTACTAGCTTTCGGTATAAAGATCTAGAGTACAAGGTGGCCCGCCCGTAGGATCGTAGGCGCGTGTCGCTGAGACACAGATTTTCAATTAAAAGGTACTCTAACGCATCACAGTTTTTCGCGACACATCGTGCAGTCACGTCATCTCCGTTGTCGCATAACAGCACGCGAACGCGCGTACATATATGTACAGGTTCAATTAGATAACGTAAATCGTACACCGATCGTTAACGTACACGAGCACCTCAACGATCTCGCGTGTACCGAAAGCGCGTAGGCCAGCCGGCGACGTGCGGAGAGTCCAAGAGGCGCAATCGAGATTCGCTCACCATCCTGCCGGATAATACTGGCGCGACGAAACTTGACGGCAGTGGAAAAAACGGCTCAAACATCCGCGGATGGTGCGACGCGTGTCTCAAAGAGACGACACCAGCCGCGTATTCTCCCTTTTGCATCGTTGCACAACACGTTGCGACTACGGTAGCGTCGTTTCTAGCTGTACGGAGACGGTTGCTGCCTAGAGATCGAACAATCGGATACGGATTTTGTTCTTGGATGACAGGGGAATCGTAAGAGTCTCCAAAAGAAGCTTGGAAAAACGTTCCAAGTTGGGACTCTTTTTCCGCAAAGCTTCCTCTGATCGTCTCTTAGAGTTTCGCCCTGTTCGGGAGCTGTCGTCTCGAAGCTTGCTTTCCGTTAAAATTGACCTTCAAGTGCGCTTTTGCGAAGAATTTGAATATTCTAAAATATTTATATGTACAGAATAAACGTCGGCCAAGCTCTAGGCAACCCCGATCTTCCTCGATTCAAACGAAGAAAGTTAACGTACAACTACCTCGAAAGTATTCGAACAGGATCTAATGATACATTATGCGCGCTATGTTTCAGTGCGTTTGCTTCACTTCTAACAATTGCGGATAATTTTCCACGATGTTCAGCAGTATGCCATCGATGTACGTTCTCAATTGCGTGTTCACTTCTTGCTGTTCTTTCAGGGCTTGTTTTAACTGTAACATAATACGGAAAAATTAATCAGGCTCTCAAAGCTGTTGGACATTGCGATCGCAAAATTCTAGATTAACTTTAATACGTACTTCAGCCATTGTGCACGGTTCGCTGAACTCCTCTTGGCCGTCTATCTGCAAGGCAAAAAGGAAAAGAACTCGGTGTTAATATCAGTTCGTTTACGTTCGCTCCGTTCGCTTGATAGGTCACCGCCAGTCGACGTATCTTAAAAAAATACCTGGTCTGGATTCATGCCGGCTAACAATTCCACAGCGAGACTAGGACCTTTCTCGGCGTTATTGTTACAAGGATTCAGCATTAAAAGTTCACGACCTGCCTGCAACGCCACGGCAGCTTGCAGTTCGTCCCGAGATTCTTCCAAGCCTGCAAACGTAACGTTAGAGTTTGGGATTAAAGCAAGGTTTATTCTCGAGAATAATTTTGCATAATAATTTCAGTCAGTTGAAATGCAGCCTTTTATACGATAAGAATGCCGAGTATTCAGGAAGCGAACGGAAGTCGGCGACATCCGGTCGACAGTTCCGCGGTACAACAATGAACGTACTTTTGTTACGAGCTTGAAGTTGAGCCACCTGCTGCACCAGTTCCTCGAGCCTCTGCTGATCCTCGCTCCGTAACGAAAGTTCCTCTCTCATGGCGTCGAGCATGTGATGAGCCTCGTTAGTTCGGCTTATCGCATAACGTTCACTTTCGCGCGCGGCGTCCGCTTCCCTCCTAGCCTCCCGAAGATCGTTCTCGAGCCGCGTCTTATCCTCGCTTATTTTGTTGAGCTGGTCGCGTATTCGCACAATCTCCTCCCGCAAACCGGTGCTCTCCGTCTCCGCCGACTTTAGCTTGGTGTTATAGTTCTCCAGCTGCAGGTTACACTCGCGTTCCACGCGTTCCTTCGCTTCTCGAAATCTCCGCTGCTCGTCCTAGAAAGAAAAACTTTTTAATAAAACATGATAATCTTACGGCGACTAGAAAGAGGATCCACGAACGAAAACTTTACGTTAAGAAACACGGAGGAAAGTCCTCTATTATTAGATGAGATTTTAATGTGAGATAGTAGGTTTTCAACGTCCACATTCAACCACAAATCTTTTTTCGCAACGATTACACGATTCAACGACCAATCTTCCACTAAACAGATTTCACTCCAAGGCCAATAAATTCACGGTGGAACCAACAGGTGATGTCTATTAATTTATTACAAACTCCGCTATCTCATAATAAAGGACGTTCCTCTACATAAAGCACCTTATCATAGAAAATTAAGATAGAAACAAAATTCTCCAATCATTTTTGACGTGGAATTTGAAATACAAGTGTCATCTTATATCTTATAAAAGTAAAAGACGTATTACTCCCTTTGTTACGTGCACAAATGTATATAACACATTTATACAAAATGATTTATACTTTCAATGAACGTTATAGATTACAAACTTGCACTTGTTTTCCGCTAGATTGTTTCATTATCAATAGTTTTAGCCGATTTACATCGAGCTACTCACGTGAAGCTTCTCTCCGGCCCTCGTTTCCGCATCTTTGGCTGATTCCTCGAGTATCAATATGCGCGCCTCCAACATTGCATTTTCCTGTTTCGCCCGCGCGTACCTCTCCTCGCCGACCGACTTAGTGTCCGCTAAGGCATCCATTTGCTCTTGAATCATCTGAACCTGTGGCATTTAAAAGGAGCTTAGTGTTTCATGAAACACACCGAGATAATCGCGCTCAAGAAACTCCAGAATAAGTGGTGGCTAATCTATAACCGCGATATAAATAAAAATATCTCAACTGTTATAAACACATCCTCATTTTATCAGTATTGTCCAATGAAATGATAAACTTGTTGGTATGCGGCAAATTACAATACAAGAATGTCACAGTCAATTTTTGCCCTATGTTGAATCTTTAATTCTATTACATGACAGTAAAAGAGGTCGAACTGCAAGTACAGAATTTACTCCTACTTTAAAACTACTAGCGTCGGAAATTTCTGCTTTCGCCAATTCAGCATTAAAGTAGGTCATTTTAAGTAGGGGCTAAAGTAAATTTTTAGAATTAGAGATTCAAGGGAGGAGTACAAAAATATAACGTCATCAAAGTAGGTTATTGCTGGTCTATGTGGGTGCATAGATCAGCTAAGTAGGTGTAAATTATCCTTACAAGTGTCAAAATAGTACCAAAACTTCGACTCGGAAAGGGTTTAAAACGTTGCCTTAAGGCTGTCTTAAGACTATAAATCAGCCATTCTGTTCAGGCCCTTAGTCCCAGTCTACAATAGATGATTTAAGCCCTAAGCTTTAAGAAATTGGCCAATCACGGTCAAGTATGAGTAGAATGCGCGACTGTGATTAGTCAATTTCTTAAGGCTTAGGGCTTAAATCTCTATTGTAGACTGGGACTTAGTCCCAGTCTACAATAGAGATTTAAACCCTAAGTCCC